GCAGAAGTTAAAGCCAAATGGTTCAATTGGCAAACATAAAGCAAGGTTGGTAGCCAGAGGATTTCTACAGAAACCTGGGCTGGATTATTCTGAAGTGTTTGCACCTGTAGCAAGACATGAAACAATCAGAATGGTGATCGCAATAGCTGCTAACAGGAATTGGCCTCTGATGCATTTAGATGTAAAATCTGCATTTCTGAACGGTCCATTAGAAGAAGAAGTCTACGTGTCACAACCCCCTGGATTTGTGAAAAAGAATTAGGAAGGGATGGTGTACAGATTATACAAAGCTCTATATGGACTGAAACAAGCGCCCCGAGCTTGGAATCAGAAGATTGATTCATTTTTCAAGAAGCAAGGCTTTCAGAAATGTGAGACGGAGTATGGTGTCTATGTTCAGCATACTTCTGAAGGCAATATGACTCTGGTATGTTTATATGTTGATGATATACTATTAACTGGAAGTTATGAACAGGAGATAGCCGAGTTCAAGAAAGTTCTGATGAATGAATTTGAAATGACTGATCTAGGTAAAATGACATACTTTCTAGGGATGGAGTTCAGATATTCTGAGAAAGGGATCATTTTGCATCAGCTCAAGTATGAATTAGAACTTCTGAAGAGATTTGAACTGAAGAATTGTAAGATTGTTGTCACACCTTCTGATACAAATCAGAAACTGGATTCTGACTCTGATGGAAAAGATGTGGACGCTACAACCTTCAAACAGTTGGTTGGTTCTCTGAGGTATCTGTGCAATACTAGACCTGATATTTTCTATTCTGTTGGGATGGTTAGTAGGTTCATGAGTAAACCTAAGTGGTCCCATTATCAAGCTTCTTTTAGGATTCTGAGGTATATCAAGGGAACTCTGAAGTATGGAGTGTTGTTTCCTTCTGGAAGAAAGGATGAGTCAGAACTTCTGAGTTATTCAGATTCTGATTGGTGTGGAGACAAAGTTGACAGAATAAGTACCTTTGGGTACTTGTTCAAATTTCTGGGAGGTGCCATTTCTTGGTGTTCCAAGAAGCAACCTGTTGTGGCGTTATCAACCTGTGAAGCTGAATATATTGCAGGTGTTGTTACTGCATGCCAAGCTGTGTGGATTCTGAATCTGTTGCAGGATCTAAAGATTAAAATAAACAAACCTCTGAAGTTGATGATTGACAATAAGTCTGCAATCAATCTTGCCAGAAACACAGTGTTGCATGGGAGAAGCAAGCATATTGAGACCAAGTATCATTTTCTGTGACATCAAGTTCAGAGTGGAGTGTTAGAAGTTGTACACTGCAGCACTCAGAAACAGTTGGCAGATGCTCTGACGAAAGCTATCAAGACTAATCAATTTCTCAGACTAAGGGATGGAATTGGTGTTACAAGTTTTGATGGAATATGAATTAAGGGATGGTATTAGAAGTAATTCATATTTATTAGTTGTACTATTTTCTTAGCCCCTAAGTTTGTTAGAGGGTATTTTAGTATTTTTATCTTATTCTAGTAACCCTAGTATTAGCTTATAAATAGGATATCAATCATTTCAATTTTGTAGTGCGTAGCCGTCATTCTCTTAATAGAATATTTCTCTATTCATCATTTATTCTACCTTTGCACCAACAGACTGGAGATAAGCAAAGTGTTAGTCATTTGAAGGTGTTTGGTTCTGTTTGCTATAAACATGTTCCAGAAGCCAGAAGACAGAAGCTGGATGATAGAAGCAAAGTGATGATTCTGATAGGGTACCACAGTACAGGTGCATACAAGCTCTATTGTCCATAAACTAATAAAATTGAATTCAGTAGAGATATGATTGTGAAGGAATCAGAAGTTTGGAATTGGGATAAGTCTCAATCTGATTCTGATGTTAGAACTTCTGAAGAAAGGTCAGAGTTAAGAATTTCTGAAGTTGGAGTAAATTCTGACGTTGACTCTGATAGTGAGTCAGACTCTGGAGAAGACTCAGAAGATGAAGGTGACTTTGATGACCCAGACTCTAATGGTAATCCAGATTCTGGTGGCAATTCAGACTCTGAAGATGGCCAAGGCTCTGGAGGAAGTCAAGCCTCTGAAGCTAGAAATTCTAAAGTTTAAGACTCTGGAAATATGCCAGACCCTGAAGATGGTCAAAGCTCTGGAGGAAGTCAATCATCTGAAGCTCAAGACTCTGAACAAGTTCAGAGACCACAAAGAATAAGAAACGTCCCCAGAAGATATGCAGAATTTGACATGCTGCAAGACACTGAAGTAGACTCTGAAGGAGAAGTTATTCAGTGTGCCATGATAGTAGACTCTGAACCCATAAGTACAGAAGAGGCTCTTAAGCAGAAGCTCTGGCTGAAGGCCATGAAAGAAGAACTTGATGCTATAGAGAGAAACAACACTTGGAAGCTGACAGAACTTCCAAAAGACAAGAAAGTCATCGGCGTCATATGGGTTTTCAAGCAGAAGTTAAAGCCAAATGGTTCAATTGGCAAACATAAAGCAAGGTTGGTAGCCAGAGGATTTCTACAGAAACCTGGGCTGGATTATTCTGAAGTGTTTGCACCTGTAGCAAGACATGAAACAATCAGAATGGTGATCGCAATAGCTGCTAACAGGAATTGGCCTCTGATGCATTTAGATGTAAAATCTGCATTTCTGAACGGTCCATTAGAAGAAGAAGTCTACGTGTCACAACCCCCTGGATTTGTGAAAAAGAATTAGGAAGGGATGGTGTACAGATTATACAAAGCTCTATATGGACTGAAACAAGCGCCCCGAGCTTGGAATCAGAAGATTGATTCATTTTTCAAGAAGCAAGGCTTTCAGAAATGTGAGACGGAGTATGGTGTCTATGTTCAGCATACTTCTGAAGGCAGTATGACTCTGGTATGTTTATATGTTGATGATATACTATTAACTGGAAGTTATGAACAGGAGATAGCCGAGTTCAAGAAAGTTCTGATGAATGAATTTGAAATGACTGATCTAGGTAAAATGACATACTTTCTAGGGATGGAGTTCAGATATTCTGAGAAAGGGATCATTTTGCATCAGCTCAAGTATGAATTAGAACTTCTGAAGAGATTTGAACTGAAGAATTGTAAGATTGTTGTCACACCTTCTGATACAAATCAGAAACTGGATTCTGACTCTGATGGAAAGGATGTGGAAGCTACAACCTTCAAACAGTTGGTTGGTTCTCTGAGGTATCTGTGCAATACCAGACCTGATATTTGCTATTTTGTTGGGATGGTTAGTAGGTTTATGAGTAAACCTAAGTGGTCCCGTTACCAAGCTGCTATCAGGATTCTGAGGTATATCAAGGGAACTCTGAAGTATGGAGTGTTGTTTCCTTCTGGAAGAAAGGATGAGTCAGAACTTCTGAGTTATTCAGATTCTGATTGGTGTGGAGACAGAGTTGACAGAAGAAGTACCTCTGGGTACTTGTTCAAATTTCTGGGAGGTCCCATTTCTTGGTGTTCTAAGAAGCAACTTGTTGTGGCGTTATCAACCTGTGAAGCTGAATACATTGCAGGTGTTGTTACTGCATGCCAAGCTGTGTGGATTCTGAATCTGTTGCAGGATCTGAAGATTAAAATAAACAAACCTCTGAAGTTGATGATTGACAACAAGTCTGCAATCAATCTTGCCAGAAACCCAGTGTTGCATGGGAGAAGCAAGCATATTGAGACAAAGTATCATTTTCTGAGACATCAAGTTCAGAGTGGAATGTTAGAAGTTGTACACTGCAGCACTCAGAAACAGTTAGCAGATGTTCTGGCGAAAGCTATCAAGACTGATCAATTTCTCAAACTAAGTGATGGAATTGGTGTTACAAATTTTGATGGAATATGAATTAAGGGATGGTATTAGAAGTAATTCATATTTAATTAGTTGTACTATTTTCTTAGCTCCTAAGTTTGTTAGAGGGTATTTTAGTATTTTATCTTATTCTAGTAACCCTAGTTTTAGCTTATAAATAGGGTATCGATCATTACAATTTTGTAGTGTGTATAGTCGTCATTCTCTTAATAGAATATTTCTCCTTTCATCATTTATTCTACTTTTGCACCAACAAGATACACATGAAGATAGGTTAGTAAAAATGCAAGCTAAAGCATCAATTATCTCAGAAAAAAACCACTATGAATCAAAAAATATTTTTATTACAAGTAACAAAAAAAAACAGAGACTGAATCCATATTAAAACGCATCATACATTTGAATTAAATCTCAAACTTATAATAAAACAACAGTGTGAAACAACAAAGCGCAGCTAGCATAGACAAAGTGAAACACCAACCTCGGATATAATCGAGATTTAAGGAAATAAACATATTAACACATGATATAGGAACAAGGATCCAATTATGTGACATTCATTTCAAACACCAATTACAAAAGATGTCTTTCATTAGAAAAACTACAACACGAATTATTTACTTAATTCCCAAAATATCATATAAATTTCCCAAAACTAAAAAAAACAAGTTAAATAAAGAAAAACGTCCAAAACCAGCTTTTTTTTATTTTTAAGCAATATGGCAGTAATAGAGTAAAGTGGTACTCAACCCGATACAAAAGATGTCTTTTATATAATTGTTAGATTCAGATTTATTATCACGAAAAGATCTACCACTTATTCAGTGATCACATAGGCTTTCAATTTTCGAGAGTTAAAACTAAAATAATATCCTTTTCAGCGGTCATTATAAACACACATGTTTAAAATTAGTGATATTAATTAGATATTTATATATCAAAATTATATATTAGAAATTTTACTTTTGATTTTAAATGGAGAAATTTAGTAAAAAAATACATAAGATCATGATATTATAGAACAATATATTATAGATGATAGTTCTCGTTCAGACATAGAAAGCATCCATCACAAGGAAATAAAACCCAAAATTCCACAGTCTCGTCTTCTTATGTTTTGAAGACTTATTTAAAAGGAAAAAAAGAAAACATTTGCAGATAAACAAACAACTATCTTATTACTCCTTGCATCTCTGATTTCACTTTTGCTTCTTGATGAAAACACTTGTCAGCACCATCTTTGATTGCAGTGACGCCTTAAGCAACTTAATACCCTGTTACACAAAATATGTGTAATTCCAAAAATACAACTAATTATAAAATTGCAGAGACTAAGTAAAGTTTTTACCTCTTCCATGCCCATCTCAACAACCTTTTCTTGTAAGGTACCAATTTCTTTCACATTGAATTTGTTCAACAGTGTGATGCTAGATATGGTTGACATTGGCTCAATCACCAAATCATCCATCACCATAAAAGTTACAATATCCTTCACAAAACCACTCTTGATATTGGAAAAAACTTTCTTTTCAGCAACCTTCTTATTTCCAACATATCGTACTTCATTGGTCATTGTATAGCCGCAACCACCATACCCGGGACGGCCAGGACATTGAAGTTTGTTATCATAAGTCACCTGAAAATTACATTTATTTGTGCACATGTATAACTTAGGTCCTTGGTCATCGTCAGACTTGGCATCATTATTGGTAAGGAAGCCAGAGATTTCAGTTGAAGAGCTCTGAGCTCTAGGGTTTAACAAAACATCTTTAGTTTGGTCTGGCAGCATGTAATTCTGGTTGAGGTTTTCGACACTCTGATAAAGATTGCCTAAGCTGCCTACCATGCCATTAGCACTTAGGAGCTTAACTACAGTGCCTATCGGCAAGCAAAGAAGGTTAAACAGAAAGTCTACAACAGACTTTGAAGCTTCAGCAAAAAGAACTTTTTGGTTCTTTGTGTCAATAAGAAGCTTCATCGACACTTTTGTAGAAGAAGAAGCCATATTGTTAAGATGTTTTCTAGTACTACATAAAGCAATAGAAGAGACTATCCATTTATAGACAAATTGAAAGAGATTCGAGTAGTTGGACAATTAGTGGAATATGGGAAGATATAAAGAAAAACCTAAAAGTAACCTCCAGTTACTAAGCTTGGATTGTGGAAAGCCAGTAGTTCCTTGCAATGATTCCTTGTCGTTATGATTATCATCTATTACTATTCAAGTGTTCATAATGTTTTTTCATTCCTATTAAAAATACAATAAAGTAAGTTTTTAATAAATTAATTCTATTATTTATTGACGGGTTTTATATATTCATATGGATAAAGATAAATGTGTTTTTTAAGATTAAGTACATTAAGGTGTGCTCTTGTATATCTCAAATTCGAATTCTTCAAATAGTAGAATTTATATTTTTTAATTAGTCGTTTAACTAGTGAGAATTAAATTTCAAAAAATAAAATAAAGTTATCTATAATATTTTTAAAATGTGATCGAACTCTAGTATAGTTGAAGGGTAGCTTTTGATTCGATAGGTATTAAGCATGAAGTCGAAGTCTGTTTGCATGCTGTTGTCGGAGTAATGCGTGTTGTAGTTGAAATTTGTTCTAACATGCATTGGTCAATATTACTAGGGTTAACATGTTGAATTGGGTCTTACTTGTAAGCTCAATTGTTTAAGTTAGCTTATACCCTAAGTTAACTTGTAATGGATAATTGTTAAAAAACTCATTAGATTAGTGTGTTATTTTTTTTATAAATAGAATGTTAGTTTCTCAATCTTGGCATAAGGAAAAATTGGAAGATAAAATCCTAATTTCAAGAGAGAGAGGTTATTTGTTATTCTTATATACTTGTAATCTTGTTCTAAGAGTAAGGAAAGAATAGCAGTTTAATAACCAATTCTTGTTGTTCTTTGTTGTTTTATCTTGTTATCTTTGTTAACCATAACCCTTGTGTGTTTCTTGATCATAAAGAAATCTTTTATACTTTGTTTAAAGACATCTGATTCACAACTAAAAGAACTCTAAAATTATCATATCTCTCAATTTTTAAATATTATTTATATCAAAGCCAATATATTATAAACATGTATTGTATAATCAGTGTCAATATAGTCTATAAATGTCAATGAAGTAAGATGTCTAACATGAATAGTATAATGTTGTTAAATATGTATATAAATTTATAGGAAATGTAAGATCACTTGATTCGAAATAATCACAAACTTTTATCTCGTAATAATGATTAATATATTATTGTAAATATATATTATCCGCTCCCAAGAATCAATAATGTCGACAGAGATAATGTTTATCACGTGTTTCATGATATAATATTTGTCATACTCCAAATTTGTCCTATCTTTTTAAATTTTTTCATTTGTTTGACTTTATTTAATTTTCGCATCTCCGACATAGTATAACGTATTTTCCAGCATGAATAATTCCTAAAAATGATTAGCCAAAATAAATTTCTTGGATATACAGACGGACTGGTCGAATTTTGTCTCAAATATACGAGAAAACTCAGTGATTGAAAAGTTTTGGATTTAAGCTTGCAGACGTCAGGATTTTGACCTACTTTCCATAAAGTTTGACCTAGCGCGCTCGTCTTATCTCTCGACAAATTTTCAGTCACTTTTGACCGGTCTAAGCCTTTTTACCGGTCCCGATCAATTTTTAAGTTTGACCAGACGATGTATTTCTCAGAGTCACTCATTCCATGCTAATCATTTGGATGAGGTCAATCTAATCTTTCAAACATCTTTGTCCCCCGATTTCTGTCCATTTTCATCCGATTTATTTTTACATTTTCATCAAATGTCCCGAATAATTAATTAGAATTTTTCGTGTTTGCATTTTATTTTTATCATGTTTATTTAATAAGTTGTGAATTTTAGCAGTTTTTAATTTATTTAATTATATTAAATTAATTAAAGATTCTAGAAGGGACAACTTTGACATTTTAATTTGAGTGTGTTTCTTTGATTAAATGTGGATCGTTAGATTTAAATTTAATTAAGGGTGCACATGCATTATCCTCACTTTTTCTCATTAGCTAATTATATTTTATCATTTTATTCTATTTTGTTTAATTGATAAAAAATCAGAAAAAATATAAATATTTTTTATTCATGTCATTAAGACACTTGTCCATCCACAATTGTGTGGTTTTAAAAATTTTGTCATCCTATCCAATTGAAAATTGACAAATGACCTTTAGTGTGTTGGTAGCTTTTTAATAATAACTATTATATAATAATAATATGTATATTTAACTAAATAATAAAAATTAATAAAAAAAAAAGAAAAAGAAGACAAGAAGGGAAAGGATAAGAAGGAAGAGATTAGGGGAATCAAAGGGAGAAAGGAGGGTAAAAAAGAGAAAGATTGTTCTTTTCTTCTTCGTGGAAAGAGCTCCATCACTGCCCCCTTCGGATCTGCATCACCGTCCCTTTCCTTTCATCTCCACCCTTCATTCCCCCACTATTAAAATGCCACCACTGAACACAATCCACCACCGATTTCACTCTTCTTCAACCATCGAATCCCATCTCAGCGGAGAAGCAGTGTAAAGATTCAACCTTTTAAGCACTTTCCGACCAGAGAACCATCATCGTCGCGTAAATCTTATCTGCGCGACCCTCTCTTCTTAAAAACCCACAAACAAATCCCTCTTCATCCTGTATAATAACGACAACCACACCCCACCTCAGTGGTTCATCATCGCGAGAATGGAAGCCACCGTTAAATAAGCTATGGGTTTCATCACAACAGTAGTACCGATGTGATACAGATACCAACTACCATCGCTCTGACTTCAACCTTGCATCATTAAGCAACAACAACGTTGGCAGTAGCAATACGAAGTCACATCTCATAGAAACAACCGTGACAATAAGGCGAAGGGCACGAATTGCATAGCTGTAGACAACCTTCAAATTTTTGGAGTTCAGCAACGTTGATTTAGTTCGTGCAAGCTCAATATCCAATGTCGACGTCAGTAATCCTCGATTTATTCTGTCGGAAATTGTTAAAGTTATATCTGTTTTTTTTGGTATGTTAGGCATTTGTTTTGGTTTTTCCGCATTTGGATTTTCATTTTTTCGTGAGTTTTCTGGTTACATGATGATTCAATCTTGCAATGTTCAGTATAAATGTTGAGTTGATAGGGTAATTTTTGAAGTATTTCAACTTGTGTGGTATTTTTTTTTTGTAGCATTAGATTTGGATTATTCGAATAGATACGTTCTATTTTTTCTTAGAATTTTCTATTAAGCCGGCAGGATGATATAAATAATCGGCCCGTTATTTAGTGTTTTTCCGGATTGCATTTGAGTCATCGTGCTTACCAAAATGAATTATGTGTAATAACATTCTCAGGAACATAAAGTTGCTTGCTCCTGGCTCGTTTAAGCATATTGTCATATTGTTAGATGCCAAATTTCGCTTATTTGATCTATCAAATGTTGGTATCTTTCACTCATTTTTGTCAAGAAAGTGTTGAAAACCACTCTTGCTTTGGTTGGTTTGCAACATTATGAGAAAAATCTCTTGGTACCTTTGATTTGTGTGTTATTGTGCAGGAATTAGGCACAAAACAAGTGAAAAGTAAGACACAAGAAATGGGCAAGGAAACTAAGACAGCATGCAAACAACAACAAGTTCACTAGGCGAACTTGCTAGCGAAGCTCCCTCTAAAACTTCATAAAGTTTGCTAGGCTAACTATGAAGCGAAGGACTCGCTAGGCGAAGTGGTAGCGAAGCTCTAGCGAACACTCCCAGACTTGAGGCTGGGGCGAAAGGACCATAAACTCGCTAGGCGAAGAATTGCTCGCCTAGCGAATATTTGGAAATATCTCAGGGGCGGTTTGACTGTTCAGAGGCACCTCACGTGCCTAACTTATTGTTCGCTAGGCGAAGGATCTGTTCGCTAGGCGAACATGACAGATCCTGAATGTTCTATTTAAGTATTTTTATTGCTTTTTAGGTTATAATCTATTATGTAACATTTTGGACATCATAACTTATCTCTCTTCATCTATTTTAGAGAGAGAAACACAAAACCCTAAGAGGGAGGAGGTAAGATCTTTGATCTCTTGTTGGGGTTTGGATGTAATCTTTTGATACCTTATGTATTTCATCTAATTTATGTTTGTGAACTAGTTTGAATTCTCTATTGGTTGATTATATTTGATTATGTATTTGTGGGTCTTGACAAAACCATTTCACATCTTTGATCTCAGATTTTCTTCTATCAATGAATAACTTTTGATATGGTTTTGTATGTTGATATTCATTGCACCTTCTATTTTATTGTATTGATTAAGTAGCATGGGTAGCATGAGTAGGATCAATACGATATTGTGCGGGTGCGTGATAATAGTGATGAAGGACGACGATCACAACCATTTGGCAGATTAGGTGAATACATGTAAAAAGGGTTAAGCGTGTGTATGTATTTTGATCATTGTATTTTATGCAAAATAATTGTTTATCAGATATAGGTGTCGTCCTTGTTTACTTGTTTATCTTTGATTTGAACCGTAATAGAGATATACTCTTCAGATCTGGATCTAGGATGATTACCTGTTAGGTCCTAAATGCTAGAGATAGGTTTAGGCTTAACATTTGCTTAAGTATCAGCTCTTAATGCTCTGTGTTGTGTTTTTGTTGGATGAGAGATCACCAATGAGACAACATGGTTTTTCTCTCGACGTTGCGTTAGAGATAAGCTTTGTCGTGGGTGATACGTAAGGGTATTAGACGAATGATTGTGTTGTGTTTAATTTGATCAGAAGAATGCATATGTTATCAATTGATGAAATCCAATCCCAACAAGGCTCCGTTTATATTTCTGTCTTTACTTTATATTTTCTGTTTTTATTTATGGTTCCTTGAACCTTTTAAACCAAAACTTTTGAACAATAAGCTTAGAAATGTAGAGGTTGTTGAACGGCGTTCATATCGCACTAATCCTTGTGGAGACGATAAAACTAT